TTATCCTTCTAAGTTTACAAGAGTTATCCTTCACCAGGACCTCCACTTATCCTTCTAAGTTATTAGATTTATCCTTGTGTAGGACACAGACTTATCCTTCCGTAGGTTGGGAGATTTATCCTTGTCTAGTTACCCAGATTATCCTTCTAAGTTTACAAGAGTTATCCTTCACCAGGACCTCCACTTATCCTTCTAAGTTACTAGATTTATCCTTGTGTAGGACACAGACTTATCCTTCCGTAGGTTGGGAGATTTATCCTTGTCTAGTTACCCAGATTATCCTTCTAAGTTTACAAGAGTTGTCCTTCACCAGGACCTCCACTTATCCTTCTAAGTTACTAGATTTATCCTTGTGTAGGACACAGACTTATCCTTCCGTAGGTTGGGAGATTTATCCTTGTCTAGTTACCCAGATTATCCTTCTAAGTTTACAAGAGTTGTCCTTCACCAGGACCTCCACTTATCCTTCTAAGTTACTAGATTTATCCTTGTGTAGGACACAGACTTATCCTTCCGTAGGTTGGGAGATTTATCCTTGTCTAGTTACCCAGATTATCCTTCTAAGTTTACAAGAGTTATCCTTCACCAGGACCTCCACTTATCCTTCTAAGTTATTAGATTTATCCTTGTGTAGGACACAGACTTATCCTTCCGTAGGTTGGGAGATTTATCCTTGTCTAGTTACCCAGATTATCCTTCTAAGTTTACAAGAGTTATCCTTCACCAGGACCTCCACTTATCCTTCTAAGTTACTAGATTTATCCTTTTGTAGGACAGAGACTTATCCTTCCGTAGGTTGGGAGATTTATCCTTGTCTAGTTACCTAGATTATCCTTCTAAGTTTACAAGAGTTATCCTTCACCAGGACCTCCACTTATCCTTCTAAGTTACTAGATTTATCCTTTTGTAGGACACAGACTTATCCTTCCGTAGGTTGGGAGATTTATCCTTGTCTAGTTACCCAGATTATCCTTCTAAGTTTACAAGAGTTGTCCTTCACCAGGACCTCCACTTATCCTTCTAAGTTACTAGATTTATCCTTGTGTAGGACACAGACTTATCCATCCGTAGGTTGGGAGATTTATCCTTGTCTAGTTACCCAGATTATCCTTCTATGTTTACAAGAGTTATCCTTCACCAGGACCTCCACTTATCCTTCTAAGTTACTAGATTTATCCTTTTGTAGGACAGAGACTTATCATTGAAGGATTCTCTAAGATAGCCCGACCCATGACGGAACTACTCAAGAAGGAGAAGAAGTTTACTTGGACTGAGGCTTGTGAGAGAAGCTTCCAGGAACTAAAAAGAAGACTGACCACTGCCCCAGTACTGACATTACCCGATATTCAACGGGACTTCATCATTTATTGTGATGCATCCCGCCAAGGACTAGGATGCGTCCTCATGCAGGATGGAAAAGTAGTGGCTTATGCTTCCCGACAGTTTAAGCCTCACGAGTAGAATTATCCAACCCATGATTTGGAATTTGCAGCTGTAGTGCATGCACTTAAAATTTGGAGACACTACTTGATCGGCAATAAATGTGAGATTTATACGGACCATAAGAGCCTGAAATACATCTTCACCCAATCAGATTTGAACTTAAGGCAAAGGAGGTGGTTAGAACTGGTCAAGGATTATAATGTGGAAATACATTACCACCCTGGTAAAGCTAATGTGGTAGCAGATGCCTTAAGCCAAAAGCCCTTTGAGCCTAAGGATGCCCATCTACAGGAAGAAATGGCACGATTGAATGTGCACATCATCCCTCAAAGTTCCAGCCATAAGCTGAGTGTTCGACCCACTCTGGAGGATCATATCAGAAAAGCCCAAAGTTCGGATAAGGATCTAATGAAAATCCGAACATATACTGGAGAAGATAAAGCACCGGACTTTAGAGTGGACGATAAGGATACCCTATGGCATAAAGATAGAATATGCGTACCAAAGGAAGGAGACTTCTGACAGATCATCATGAACGAAGCACATAACTCAGCATATTCCATCCACCCAGGATCTACCAAGATGTATATGGATATAAAGCAGAAATATTGGTGGAATGGGATGAAAGCCGACATTGCGCAGTTTGTCGCTCATTGAGATACTTGTCAAAGGATTAAAGCGGAACATCGGAAGCTAGCTGGATTATTACAACCTCTACCCATCCCAGTGTGGAAATGGGATGAGATTGGTATGGACTTTGTAGTTGGCTTACCCAGGACGCAGAAAGGACATGATTCCATATGGGTAATTGTGGATCAGCTCACTAAATCGGCTCATTTTATACCCGTGCGAACTAATTATGGTGGAGAGAAGCTAGCCAAGCTCTATGTGGAAAACATAGTAACGTTGCATGGTGTGCCCAGCAGAATTGTTTCAGATCGAGGAACTCAGTTCACCTCTAGGTTTTGGAAGAGCTTGCATAAAGCTATGGGCACCAAATTGGATTTCAGCTCCGCCTATCACCCACAAACCGATGGCCAAACCGAAAGAGTAAACCAGATTATGGAGGATATGTTAAGAGCATGCGTCCTTACTTATGGCAAGGACTGGGAGCAGAGTTTACCCTATGCAGAATTCTCATACAACAACGGTTATCAAGCAAGCTTGGGCATGTCGCCATTTGAAGCCCTCTATGGGAGGAAGTGCAGGACTCCTCTGATGTGGTCGGAAGTTGGAGAGCGTGCACTAGTTGGACCCGCATTCATAAAGGAAGCGGAAGAAAGGGTAGCTGAAATCAGAGAGAAGTTGAAAGCCGCCCAGTCTCGTCAGAAAAGCTACGCGGACAAGAAGAGACGAGAAGTAAGCTTTGAGCCGGGAGACTTTGTCTATCTTAAGGTTTCGCCTATTCGAGGGACTCGAAGGTTTCAGATACAAGGAAAATTGGCACCTCGTTACATTGGACCATATCAAGTATTGAAAAAGGTTGGAGCGGTAGCATACCTCCTGGAGCTACCAGAAGGAATGTCGGACATATACCCAGTATTCCATGTATCCCAGCTAAGGAAATGTTTGAGGATATCTCCGATCCCTCTGAACATCATGGATCCACTGGAGCTGGCTTGCCTCTACCAGTTCGATGACATCGATGGCTTTTTGCCGTGGTTTGATCATCACTGATATGATGCCTATCATCGTAGCTCGATGACTAAATAGTTCAGAGTTTAGAGGCAGCACTAGTTCAGGATTAACTCGATAATAACTAGTTCAGTCTGTCATGTTTGTGTGTCCTGCTTCAGTTGTCTTTATGTGTCACTGTGGAATTGACAGTATCTGTTGTCTAGGGCTGAGGGATGCTGTTTCTGAACACTGCACGTGTTTCTTCAGCCATGTTCATCTTTACTGACAATGCATTTGGGAAATAAATCTTTTATGCCAACCAGATAAAATGGGCACCAGCACTCGCCCCCGCGCCGCCGTCCCAGGTATAGGTGGCCAAACGGGCGGCACGGCCCGGTCCGGCACGGGCACGGGTCCGGCACGGCCCGTTTCGGCACGGCCCGTTAGGCACGGCTGATGAAACGGGCCGTGCCGTGCCAGCCCACGTGCCGTTACTAGATTTATCCTTTTGTAGGACACAGACTTATCCTTGGGTTGGTTGGCAGATTTATCCTTCCTTAGTGACCCGAATTATCCTTCGTCGACAGAGTTGGAAGATTACTATATTTATCCTTCTGCAGTCATTGAAATTATCCTTCTGTACGACTCCAACTTATCCTTCTGTAGGACTCCCACTTATTCCTTTCCTAGCACACAGACTTATCCTTGCGTAGATTATTAGATTTAGCCTTCTGCAGTGGCCCGAATTATCCTTCTTCGTCATAGTTGGAAATTTACTACGATTATCTTTCAGGAGGACTCCCACTTATCCTTCTAAGTTACTAGATTTATCCTTGTGTAGGACACAGACTTATCCTTCCGTAGGTTGGGAGATTTATCCTTGTCTAGTTACCCAGATTATCCTTCTAAGTTTACAAGAGTTATCCTTCACCAGGACCTCCACTTATCCTTCTAAGTTACTAGATTTATCCTTGTGTAGGACACAGACTTATCCTTCCTTAGGTTGGGAGATTTATCCTTGTCTAGTTACTCAGATTATCCTTCTAAGTTTACAAGAGTTATCCTTCACCAGGACCTCCACTTATCCTTCTAAGTTACTAGATTTATCCTTGTGTAGGACATAGACTTATCCTTCCGTAGGTTGGGAGATTTATCCTTCTAAGTTACTAGATTTATCCTTGTGTAGGACACAGACGTTTCGGCCCGGCCCATTTGGACACCTATAGTCCCAGGGAGAGATAATAAAAGCCGAAGTCATCCTGGTCAACGGGAGTCAGCAGGGTGGCCTGGAGGACGACGGACGGCCTGGAGGTGCGCCTCCTTCCTTCCTTCCCCCCTCCCTCCGACGGCACTCCCCTCCGGCGGATTGAGGCCAGATTGAGGCTAGAACAACTCGAACGACCAGATTGAGGCGGCACTCCCCTCCGGCGCCGGCCACCCCCTTCCCCCCCCCCCCCCCCCCCGCGCGGTTCTGTCGTATCTAGGGCTAGAGTTGATATGTTCGCAGCCGTGCCGGCGGCGGCGCACCGGCATTAGTATTACAGATGTCTAGGATTCACGCTCCCAGGAGGTGAGGACTTATTGTTCAATCAGGTAAGATCATATTTCAGTTCTAGCCCTTTGGTCCCTTGGATTAGGATTATTGACACTGTGCATTGCTGTTTCAGGGGTCTTCTTTTTTCTCAAGCTCGGCAGAAACACTCAATGAGATGTCAAAAACAATTCTTTCCCTGCGCAACAATAATATATTCTACAATTTAACTGAATAATAGTTTTGTGGTGTACTAATTGGTGGGATAGAACAGAGCAGTGAATACTGTCTAACAACACAACTAAAATGAGCATACATAGGGAGGAAAAAATGGACAACATTTAATACATCCCAATGAATTACTTGAGGAAAATGCAAGAATATAAAGCAGTGGCAGATGGAGTGTTACCAAAGAGGACCACTCAGCTAGAAGCCTGGAAGCCTTGAACCTGAAGTATACAAAACAGGATAAGAATTAGCAGTTAAAACTTCATGACAAGCAATAGCATCACTCGAAAAATAAAGGCACAAAAAAACTGAAGCAATCGAGAGAACTTTTGGAAGCATAAAGTGCTCCATGTCATTGTTAAGCGTACAGAATCATGATTTATCCACTTACCATAATATCCCAAAGTCAGGAGTGAACGTCTTTGTATGCAAGAAGGTGGTACTCCTGCACAGGCTAGCAAGCTTAACAATTAAAATTGCCAAAAACAAACAAAAAAAAAACGATCGAGTGGCACAACCTTACCTTAATCTTCGCAATGCACATTTGTCAACCAACACTGGCAAGCAGCCCACACGGCGCAAGCGCCCAGCCAGGAGCGGCCAGCGCAGGCGAGAGTACCTGGCAGGACAGCAATGAACAGATGCAGGGGCAGACCTGGCTGGTTGGGTGCGCAATGAACAGATGCGGGTGGCGGCTTTGATGACAAGGGTTATCCAAACTGCTTGGACTACTGACGTCTATAGGTTGATGTAGAGGTAATTTTAACTATTGACGAAGACATTAAGAACAGAATACTAAAGCCTCAACCTACAACCATCGCTCTTAATTCCAACAAACACCTGCCCACCAAAAGAAGTCAATTTTGATTCAAATGGTTATTGTTCCACAACCATGGTTATGGTCACCTCATGCCTAACCTATACAAAAAGCTAGAAATTTTGCAAAATAAGACAACATAGCAAAGAAGGGCATCATATATAGATTATAAATGGGAATATGTAGAAGAAATTCCATGGTAGGAGTTTTTAGTTTCATGACGGCCTAATAACAATAAGCGTTGACAAAGGTAATGTCAAAGGGAAAAATTAGAACTAACCTTGTGGTTGCATAGTTGTGTATTTTGCACAACCCATTAGTGTTTCATGGCTGATCTTGTTTGCTTTAGGTAAATTGCTTTCCAGGTTTCGTAAGATGCAACCTATTATGAACCAATATGCATAGTACTTTGCAAAATGAATACCAAGTCACTGTGACATTCAGTAGAAGAGTAAAAAAATAGGATTATAATCTTAGATCCTATCACTCTGTAGAAAATGAAGTAAAAGTAATGCATAAAGTATAAGGTACATTGCATGCAAATTTTTGTACCAATCTAGTCATAAACTCCCTTCATGGTCCACACAAGAATTGAACAATAGCTCCCAGGAGTAGTTTACACGAAAGAGAAATATAATACTATGCACAAAAGGTCAGGAAAGGCACCGAGGAGACAAGAATTCCAGGTTTAACCATCTGGTCTTTATTTTGTGACGTGGCCAACAACCATCTCAAGCGTGGTATAATTAATGTATCATCACACCCTGCATTGGTTCGATTGTAGAATCGTCAGTAGATAAAATGGTAAACACGCCATCTAAATCCTCAAAACTAAATCATTATAAATGATTGTAAGAAATAAGATAGAGGGGAAAGTATCCGAGAGAGTTTGATAAATTCCATCAAGAAAACTGCAGCAGCAGCCACCAGCAGGAGTAGATGAGGGGAGGATGAGGTGAGGCAGCAGTGCGCACGGCGGTAAATAGGGTGCGGGGTAGGTCACCACCGGTGGAGGTGGGGAACAATGGCAATCATCAAGGCTTTGGCCTCCTGCGTGTCTTCTCCCATTGCTGCTGAGCTGCTACTGTCGCCACCAATGAGCTCAACATAGCCAACGACCCTGGATCAGAGAAAGAGGGAAAGTGTAAAAAAAGAAGCGTGGGTGAGCAGGGCCATCACCTGTGGAGCTCACCGCTGGGGAACACCATCCGGCGTCGACACTGCTAGCGCTTGCCCTCCACTTCGGGTGACCAGATCTGGCAGCAAGGAGGTCGTGGCTGCCGGATTGGGCACCCACGGCCTCCCCTTCGAGCGGGCGTCAGCGTCGGCGTAGCAAGGAGTGAACGGCATCCACAACATCCCCTTCGAGCGGTGAACGGCAGCGGCGTAGAGAGGAGAGCAGGAGGCAGCAACGGCGGCGCATCGCACAGGAGAGGGCGAGAGAGATGAAAGGGGGCGATGCAGAAAAGCTAACCATCTTCCCCTCCTCTCCTTGCCCTCCCTACCCCTCGGGCGAGCTCTCCTCCTCCCTTCTCGCACTGCCTCTCGGCGGTCGCCGGAGGACGGAGGCGGCGAGGTGTTGCATCCAGCCGGTGGTGAACGTGCACCCGCTCGCCAGCCGCATGGTCGACACCAAGGAGCCCAAGATGGAGGACACGGTGGAGCACGGCAGCAGCGAAGAGGACCGGAAAAGGAGCAGGGGAAAAGGGGATCGACGCGCGCGGGCGAAGAAAACCCTAGGTGTTGTTGACCACGGTGGTGGCGAACAGAAGCAGCAGAAAAGGGATCGATGCGGGACAGCGGGAGAAGAAACCAATCTCGAGCTGCTCACGGTCACGGTCACGGTCACGGGAGGGTAGAAGCGGAAGAGATATTGGATCCTTGACACACGTTAGATTGGACGGTGCAGATGGCATCGATCAACTGTTAAGAGAACAGTAGAACAGTAATACAGTACCTGGGGGCAAAAGTTGTAGGCAAAAACAATAGGTTTCATATGATAACAGGAATCGTTCTTCTTTTAATAGACTATAATAACAGGAATCGTTACTTCTTATTTATGTTTCCTGATCAATTAGGAAGTCATATACTCCTATTTGCTGATTTTTTTTTCTTTTTACTTGCCTGAATACCAATGCAGAGAACTAAGTATATTTACAGACGGTGGCATACGGGAGAAGAGGATTTCCTTTGTTGTTGTGCTATAATATTTAAAGTATGTTTTTTATAACAAGATAACCGTGATAGATTTCGAATGACCAAAAAGTTGCAATGTTATTTTAGACACTTGGTTATGTAATTAACAATGCAATAACTCTATAATTTACAACTCTTTTTTACATTAATCTTGAATATATCTTATTCTTCTAAAACATATTTTTTGATTACTTCCGTGTACCGCATCGATCGATCGCGCACATGTTCCTGCTTATCGGATCCCACCAGACCCATTTTGAATTTTCTAAAAAGAAATACTGGAATATTTGATTATCCCTTGATGATCGGATCTGGCATCGGTGTAGCACTGCTCCCATATATATTCCTGTTATATCCAGCAGGCGGCAGGGGCGACATGCTCATCGGAGATTCGGCGTACGTGCTGACAGACGATCCACCCCATCGGAGAAGCGTAGATGGCGGCATCACGGCCGGCGCATTCCTTCGACCTGTTGGCGCGCTTCACCGGCAGGCACAACATGCTTCAACTCACGGGCACGGCGACTTCCTCGTTCCCAGCAGGCGGCAGAAGATTGATTTCCCTAGACCTATGGCCTATTCGTACGTCGCTTGCTGGAAGCGAATCGTCATCAGAGACGGCAGCCCCTGTAAGGTCGTCCTCTTCCCTTCAGCTATGGTGTCCATCCAACAGGTTTTGTCCCAGCTGATGAAATCTGACAACGCATCAACGCCGGCGTCCGGTAAAAACACGTACGTACGTGATGCATCTGTTAATTGAACTCCTTTTTTCTGCTTGTTCGTGCTGCCTTTTACGTATAGTATATACTGCCTTTCTGGTTTTATTTCCTTGAAAGATTAAGCACCTGATTTATTTTGTATGCAGATGGTGGCCGATGGCAGAATATATCGATGTGCACTGCAGCGCGTCGACTCGAACGATTCATGAATTTCAGTGAATGCCATGGCATCACTGCTGCTCCACGGCTGCCCATCTGTTGGTGGTGACGTCGACAGCCACGGCACATAGGTGATCGATGTTGTCAGGCAACAAGAAATCATTTTAAAATCGATGTAGGAGTATTATGTTTCGTTCTTGTTCTCCTGGTTTTGATCAGGAAAAGAAGTACTGATGCTGTTCATTCAGTATACGGCTAGTGATGTTGTTTGTAAATCTCAATCAGCAAATTGATATATACTTCTGTTCACAGTCATACTCAGTGTGTTCTGATTCATAACTATATATCAACCCTATACCTACCACTAACTTAAAAAGCAGTATATACCGATACTAACTGAAAATAAGTATATACCGGTTAACTTTTGAAACAGCATATGCTGCTACTAAATAAAACTAGTATATACCGATACTAACTTAAAAAACAGCATATGCTACTACTAACTGAAAAATAGTATATACTGCAATGAACTTTTAAAATAGTATGTACTGCAACTAAATATAGCCAGTATATACCTATACTAACTTAGAAAATAGCATATACTACTACTAACTGATAAATAGTATAACCGTAAATTTAAAAATAGTATATACTGCTAGTAAAAAAAACAGTATATACCAATACTAAAAAAAATAATGGTACTACTATTTGAAAAAAGAGGAAAGTTAGATAGGTACATTGTCAATTTTGAAACCAAATGCATGGCCTCGTTCAATCGTGCACCAAATCTGTGCAGTTGTGCATTGACAAGACAATATAGTGTATACTGTTACTAAGTAAAGAATAGTATATACTGAAAACAAAATAGTATATACTACTACTAAATAAAATAGAGTATATAGTGATAAAACAAATACTAATAGTTAGTGAAAAGAGTATATACTTCTACTAACTAAGAAAGTAGTATATCTGAAATTTTTAACGTGGCAAATCCTCACCGGCTGGTGTGCATGCATTCAAAAGTTTGAAAATAGAATACCGGCCGAAAATGCATGCAGAAATTCGAATATCCAACCATTCCTCATTAGCCGGTGCCATTATTTTCTTTTTAACCCAACTATCCAATATCAACAAATGGATATCCAACAAGAAGGGGAGTACATACACTTGTATATATATATATATATATATATATATATATATATATATATATATATAGAGAGAGAGAGAGAGAGAGAGAGAGAGAGAGAGAGAGAGAGAGAGAGAGAGAGATGCCGTTTGGCTCTTTGGAGCAGATGCTCCGACATTAGGAGCCGTCGATGGTGTGCTGCGATCCGTGCACAATGGCCAGGACGGAACGGGCGCGTAGCTCTGTGGATGAAGAAACATGGGCAGCAAGCCAGCAAGGCTGACGGTACTGTGAGGATTAGAGGACGATTTTACCATAATACCCCCATACTAGTAGCATATACATGCACTCTCTTTCTGTCACCAATGATTCCTCACGTCCATTTGCTCATTTTCTCACTGCTTTAATCAGAGCAGCCATTTGCAGTCGAGAGCATCAGCAGGCGCGGATAATGGCTTCAGCCGCTCTTCCTCATCCCAGGCGTCTCGCCTGATGGTCATCGGCGTGGGGAACGAGACCAGCAGCCGCCCGTGTTTGAGATCCGAACAGAAGATTTCTCAAGTGTACAAAAAAGGTTAGTATGCATTCTCTATTTTCCTTGATAGAGTTTTTTTTTCTTTTGTGTTTCTCATGTTGTTGCCCCCATGTTTCTTTTGCCCTTCACATTTTGTTAAAATTTTTCCAGGAGAAGCCGGCATGTAAGGTTTAGATATGGAAAGACATCTTGCAAGAGTATGCCGACGAGCTCCAGAACTACAGCATGTCGAGGCAGTACAGCATGAATCTTTTTCCTTTTTTTACGTGGACAGAAGATCTTATTCGGTGTTGTTTATGTTTTGACCCTCTCCCAACATGCTTGTTTTTCACTTTTTTTTTTTTTTGCAAGACACTTCTGCGTGCAAGGTTTGGATATAGGAAGACATTTTGCGAGACTATGTCAACGAGCTGCTAAAGTACAACATCGGATGCCCCCATAATCCCTTCAGAGCAGTTATCGATTCTTTGAAGGTTGTGGAGGAGAAAAATCGCCAGCTTGTTCTTCTTCAAGATGAAATCGAAAGATGCCACCGTTTGCTTCAACAGAAATTCGACGACACCGAAGTCCTGGTTGAGCCTCTCGCGTCATGAGGGCTCGTTCGAGAAGGATATTCTCTATGTTTATTATTGTTGTAGTCTCATTTCTTGTAACCAAAAACCTTATATTTGGTTCCTAGTTTATTGTAATTATTTGTTACTAATAACTTCTTAGCGTCCAGTGTAGTATCATGGTAATCGCCGTGTTACTAGGGGGCGACAATCGTATTGTGGCAGATATAAGCCAAGTTAATTAAGGTGCAAATTTGATGTGTTAATAGCAGTGTGCAGTGTGCTCAGAATTTTTGGACAACTACAGCATTTCGTGTGGTACAGGGTTAATTTGGGAGGAGTACATTAAGGGCCGCTTTCATTTGGAGAAAAAACAAAGAATTTTTAGAGGGTTTTAATCCTATAAAAGAAAATTATATGAAAGCCTTTGAAACAAAGTATTGAAAAGTATTGAATCCTATTTAATATTTTAAAATTTCTTTGTAATAGATAATCCTAGTGAATTTTAGAGGAAAGTTAGCAAGAAGTTTAACCTATTGAAAAATTTTCTCAGAGTCTATGGAAGCCATCGTTTGGCTTATTTTAAGCATAAACGAAACGGCATATTTGCAAACAGAAAACAATTTGTAAATAAAACTTTTATATATGTGTTGTTAGCGATAAAAAGTAAAGGATGAAAAAAAACTACGATGAAAAAACCCTAAAATCAACTTCAAATTCAAGATTAAAAATTTAAATTTTAGCTTAAAAATTTAAATTTTAGCTTATAAGCATAAGCATGAGCCAAAAATAGCAGCTTTATCTTTCTCTTTCTCTGTTTTTAACGGGTCCTCAAAAGGATGGGCATATTGGTTCTACGCCGTGGGACTGGGATAGCGTGCTCCTGCATGCACACTTGGTGCATTCTTTTTTTTTTTCCTTCTCTGAATCTGAACGATCGAGAATGACCGGACGAGGGCAGTGACATGCATTAGTTTTTTTTTTTTTTTGATCTTTTTTGAATCTGGGCTGTGTTTAGATATAAAGTTTAGATGCAAACTTCAGTCCTTTTTCATCACATCAACATGTTATACACACATAATTTTTCAGTCACATCATCTCTAATTTCAACTAAAATTCAAATTTTACGCTGAACTAAACACAGCCCTGAAAGATTGACGGTGACCGGACGGGCAGAGAGAGGTCTGCACTGGCACTGGCGCAGACGCCGCATAGGCCTTCACTGCATGCCTGCAATGCTAGCTGCAACGCCCGCAGCGGATGAACGAGGGCTCGTCCAATGCCATTTTCAACCTTATCATTTTATTTAAAGTTATAAAAAAATTAATTATATTTAGTCTGTTGTCAAATTTTAATAAGCACATATGAAATCTTGCCAAAATTTGACAACCTTATCAAAATTTTGGCAACCTTTCCAAAATTTTGGCATTACCAAATTTTGGGTGTGTTTAAATGGGGTTGAAATTGAAATAATATGATAGAAAAGTTAAAAGTTTGTGTGTAGAAAAGTTTGATGTGACCAAAAAGTTAGAAGTTCGAAGAAAAAACTTGGGGTCTGTTCAGTGTTTGCCAAAATCAACCTTACCAATTGTTGGTAAAGTCAAATTTTGGTAATACCAAAATTTTGGCAAGTTGGAAATGTAAAGGTAATGTTTAGCTTGTTACCTTACTAAATATTGGCATAATTTTGTGAGGAGAAGTTTCTAGAATCTTGCCAAATTTTATAGGCATTACTAATATTTGGTAGTAAACCAAATAAAACTAAATTTTAGCAACTTGCCAAATAATAGAATGGTTCGAAATGACAACAATCTAAGCAGCCCCTTTGGATCTAAACACGGCCTTTGGGAAGATTTATTTTAGCATTAATTAAAGTTAACAACCCCTGAGTCTACACGCAAGAGCAGATGCATTGAAGCCAAGCTTTTTTGTCATCTTACTCCACACACAGGCTCACATAAATCAGGGTTGCGTTTTAGGGAAGAGGTCGTTCAATAATTTGTAAGAGCAAGTTTAATAGTACAGTCCAACTACTGACTCCAATTTATCTATATATAATCTAATAGCTCATTTATACAATAGTTACATACTACACTATTAATATCTGGTCCCACCTGTCATACACACACTGCGTCTTGGAGTCCGTGCTATAGCTGACTACAAATCTGTAACCCGCTGCTCTCCTCTCTTCTTATTTATCTCCTTAAAATATGTTTGCACCTGCTATTGTACCTGCTCTAATGGTAGCGGTTAGTACATGTTAGGCCCTTTTCAGACAAACAGAAACTACTCCCTCTGTTTCTGAATGTTTAATGCCATTGATATTTTTAAACATGTTTGACAATTCGTCTTATTCAAAAATATTATGAAATATGTAAAACTATATGTATATATAGAAGTATATTTAACACTGAAACTAAGTTTAAAAATATTTTAGTGTTAAATATACTTCTATGTATACATATAGTTTTACATATTTCACAATATTTTTTGAATATTAATTCTTTTCCTATCATTTGTTTCCGTGTTAAATATACTTTTATGTATACATATAGTTTTACATATTTCACAATATTTTTTGAATAACACGAACGGTCAAACATATTTATAAAAATCAACGGCGTCAAGTATTTAGAAATGAAGGGAGTATAATACTTCATACGTCCTCCGTTCCAAAATACTCATCGTTTTGAATTTTTATTTGTAACGTTTGATCATTTATCCTATTCAAAAGATTATGAATATATTATTTTTATTTATCAAAAATATGATAAGTATAATTTTATTTTCTTTTAAAGTTACACTAATTTTTAAAATAAGATGAGTCGTCAAATGTTAGAAGAAAAAAAAACATCTAAATTAAAACGGAGGTAGTACAACTTGTAAAACTGCACTAAAATCAAAAAAACATTTTTTTCCAACCCGCCGCGCAAAAAATATTACATAATCGGTTTTAACCAAATCTAGGAGTGGGCAGAAAAAGACCGAACCAAAAAGACCGAGACCGAGAAATTCGGTCCTAGGCAACCAAATTGTCAATTTGGTTAATCTTCTCGGTTAACGAATAGACAAAAAGACCGAATGAAAAAATATTCTAAATGCAACCTACAATCCACTAAGTTTAATAGGATTAAACTCTAATTTTCACATCCCTACTACTTCTAGGCTTGTAATCTAATAAGAGTCTTTACTCATACATGCTTACGAATTCTTTTTGTGATTTTTGTGTTAAAAATTTCCATTATTTCTTTGCATATATAAATATGTTGTTGAATTTCGGTCAGGACCGAGACCGAGACCGAGACCAAATTCATCGGTCCTGACATTTTTCTGTTGAAATCGATCTTCACTTTTCAAAGACCGAAAGACCGAAGACCGATACCAAAATATTTTATCAGACCGAATGCACACCCCTATTTAAACCCCTCTCACAAAAACATTTGTGAGAAAAACACTTTCAATTATACTACTCCCTCCGTCCCTAAATATAAGGGTTTTTGGTTGAATGTGATACATTCTAATATAACGAATCTAGACAAGAAACATGTTCAAATTCGTTGTACTAGAATGTGTTACATCCAACCAAAATTTTTTATATTTAGGGACGGAGGGAGTATCTCCATCGTTTGGCATATTCATATGCTTATAAGCCAAAATTTGAATTTTCAACGTTAAATTTAGAGTTGATTTTAGGATTTTTTTCATCGAAGTTTATTTTTAGGCCTTTACTTTTAGATCGCTAAGAACACATATATAAAAATTTTATTCACAAATTTATTTTTATTTGCAAATATGCCATTTAGAAATATGACAAACGATGAGGCCTATCAAAACGAGCAGATAGTGTTGTACTAGCAAGCAGCCTGTTTTTCGGTGATATGAATGCGCGCATTCATTTGGTTGGAGCAAGACGCTGTGTGGTTTTAAATTTCTGAGCAGCTGCTCTGCCCATGCCCATCTTAATGCAAATCGATGCGCCGGGATCGTACTTCGTACTACTCCGTCACTGCCGCGGGCCGTCCCATGCGTTCGTCAGTCAAACCTCGCGCACAAGAGCGGTCGTCCATCGACGTTTTTTGTCAGGGCCAAAAAAAAACGTTGTCCCCTTTTTTAACCTTTTTTTTTTCTGCCAACATGCACGGATAGAAATCCAACGCTCCACGGGTGCCAGGGTAGATTTATAGTCAGCCAAACCGGAAAGCAAGCGGGCCCTGCGCGCCCTGCCCCGTAATGGCTTCTCCCGTTCAGATAACCACCACCGACCCCCACTTGCACGTGTCCTCTGTACGAGTTAGGAGCATATGCTATATACACACACACATAGATAGATAGATACATACATACATACATACATACATACATAACGCAGAGCAAAAGTATATATGTAACCCGATGCAAGGTGAACTGAAACACAAGTACATATATACTACATTTTAACCGATACGAAATTATTAGGAAAAAACATATACATATAGGCTATATATAATATAGCAGTGTGTGTATAGACGAAGTGTCCGTGCGTTGCAACGGGAAGAAAATTAAGGAAAAACTCGCTGGTGGATCCGGCCATCTGGAGCATAGGGATGCGAGCCGCCATCCAGCTCGAAGGTGAAGCAAGGAGAGCGCAGCCGATCGGTGGCACTGAAGATGGTAGATGTTTTTTTTTTATGATTTCGGGTGTGTTAGGTCTTGGATACGACTCATATGTTCTGCTTGTTGTTGTGCTCTTTTTTGAGGATTTGTGTTTTGTCACACCCTGATTTTCATTTCAGGGATTTGTAAATTATTTATAAAATTTGTATTAAATTTCATTAATTTACAAGTGAAGTTTAATATGAGAAATAAAATGTCATAATTAAAACATGGCTATATTTAATCATTATTAAATTCTCCATGATTAATTATACTCTTTGAAATTTTCCAATCATTAATTTTAATAATACAAAGAACATTTTAGTAATTATTTAAATAATTATTAATGATTAAATGATCTAGATAAATATTTTTAAAATACTTTGAGTGTCCAACTATTTTCATGATATTTTTTGAAATTATTTGAGCACTGGAATTGTTTTTGAAAATTCAAAGATCATTTTAGTGATTAATTTAAATAGAAAAATAATTAAAATCCTTCCTCTTTCTTGGACCAATTCCAGTGAAGTTTGTTTTCCTTCCCTCTGTCTCCAGAAGACTTGCCTCCTCTCTGCTTTCTTCCTTTCCCCTTCGGCCCAGCAGCACAGAAAGTCTAGGAAGCATCCCTCAGTCCCTCCTCTCTCTGTCGCCGCGGGCCCACGTGCCAGGGTCATCTTCCTCCTCCTCCTCCAGACCGAACCCCCCTGCCCGACAAAACTGCCGCTGCCTCTCCTTCCAATCCGCCTCCCCTTTGCTCCCCTTTCCAAATTGGATGCGAAAATGGTTCCCCTCAATCTCCTCTACCCTTTTCGTTGAGAAAGCCCCATCCCATCTTGTGCTAAATCCTGCGAATTTCGGCTTTAGTTTTCATCTTGACGAACTCGGCTTAGTTTTGTCCGAATCCTGTCGTTACTGAGCCGGATTCTCCCGATTGACGGACGAAAATAAGGTGTGACGAAAGAAAAGTTACCAATCTTTTAATTATTATATACTATATATTATTATTATTATATATTATATTATTATATAAGATATAAGATATAAGATATATATCAGCTTTGCGCACATTATTGTACGTAGGTAGGTACGCGCAGACCGTTAATTAGTAGTTACGGAATGTTGGTCACGCTCAGTAGCGGAGATAGCGCCCGGCGACCCTGGGCAGGTGCCCGGACTCCGTCCAAGGCACGCACTAATTACCATGCATGCTTAGCTAGTCATGTGTAGGAGTAGTTCATTTATTATTTGATTACCGTGCTTTACACAAAAGCAAAACAAGTACTTGAGGATTCTCAATTTTACTCGAGTCATTTTGTATGGAATTATTTGTACGTACTTGTTATCCACCGATTTGCACAGGCATAGATTCGCCACTGGTCACGCTTGTCGCGTTAGCCCTATTGGTTTGGTTGCCAGGGACAACGGAAGAACCTATGCTTTTGCAGCCGACATCGTCGGTGTCTTGCAGGGCACTGTAGCCATAGCCGATGGTGATGGGCCAGCAGTAGAATGTGTGTGCCGGACCATTATTAGAAGGAGACTGAGCATTAGAAGGAGCCGGAGCCGGAGCCGGAGACGGAGGCGGAGGCGGAGGCGGAGGCGAAGGCGAATTCGGATTAGTCGAGGGGGTGATGATGTGCACCATGACCAACACGTGGAAGACGTCCTCTTGTTTGAGCCGGTGCTCTATGTACTCCATGATCTGGCTGCTGTTTGTGATGGTCACCGTCATCGCCTCCGTGTGCGACGTATCCTTGAGCAACGTGAAGCCGTTGTTGAGTTTGAACCAGACGATGGTATCGTTGATCTTCGCCGGCATCTGGCCGGATGCCCACGACGCCGGTGACAGCGTCATGTCCACTAGGCCGATGGTGATGTCTGAGCAGTTGATGATCTTGTCTTTATGCCCGCGCTGGCTGGAGTAGCTTGCGGTTAGGGAGACGGCGAGTTGTGCTGTGCTGGGGCGGCTTTGGACGAACCCTCCCTTCCAGCACGGAAAACAGAAAAGAGCATTAGCACATAATTAATTAAGTATTAGTTAAAACTAACTTTTAATATGATTTTTTTAAAGCAACTTTCTCATAATTTTTTTTTCAAAAAACACACTTTAGCAGTTTGAAAAGCGTGCGCGCGAAAAACGAGAGAGAAGAGTTGGGAACATGTACAAACGAAGGCAGCCTAAATCAGGATTCATTTTATATATATATATATATATATATATATATATATATATATATATATATATATATATATATATATATATATATATATATATATATATATATTGTGACTTGTTTTTATCATCAACGAAATTACTTACAATATGATCAACTTGTACTTTTATATACTTATTATACTAAATTTTTAAATAAGATAAATATTCAAAAGTTACTGGAAGTCAGAGGTAGTGTGTATATATATATAATTCATACGTACTAAAATCGCCGCCAGCGACGTCGTCGCTGTCGGTAATACTTCCGAGCCATAGTCATCATACACAGTGATGTAGCCCCGGTCGATGGAGAGCTGAATCTCCTCCGGGCGACTGACCATGGCGATCACCATGACGATCACCGCGAAGGTGACCGCGCCCACCGCTAAGGCCACCACAAACCGCACCGCCACAAGGAACGGCACCGTCGTGCCGCGCCCGGCGGCGTCGTCTTCCATTCCCATGATCACGATCGATCGATCACCTAGCTATACCTAATATAATAATGCATATGTATGTGTAATTCCATCCATCCATCCGGTTCTTATATATATATATATATATATACTACTCCATGTGCAAGCGTCTGCACTGTATGCTAGTATATATTCTTAGCCCTCCATTGACGAAAGAGACATTTTTTTTTAAAAAAAAAGACTCGATCGGCGTCATTTAGTAATAATTGATTAATAGTACTATAATCTTGACTCACACGCCGGGTAACATATACTCAAGGAATCAATCGTACAAATCAAAGTCGATCTAGCTGGAACGTACTGTTCCAAAGTCCTCTGGGAATCCTGCAAAAGAAAAAGGAAAATGCTAAATCAAATTGGGACCAAAACATTTCTTACGGATTAATTTCTAACCTTAGAATCAATCTTTCAACCAAGCCTCATGCATGCCCGGCCCCTCCAGTGAGCAGCGACCCTTTTTTTCGAGAATACGCACAAGACCTGCGTATCTTTGTATTAAGTAAGGGGGGAGTTTCAACAATACAAGAGCGAAAAATTTAAAAGGGAAAAATAACATAAAAGGAAAAACAAAGGAAAATAGCACATTGAGGGGCTATATCTCGCGGCACTAGTGTGGCGACCGGGGCCGCGCGGCGTGCTAGCTCAGCAGCCCGCCTTCCTGCCAGAGGGCCGCTTCCTCCCCCTCCAGCTTTGCGACCTCGACCCAGGATTTGCTCTCGTTGTTGAAAACTCGGTGATTCCGCTCCTTCTAGATATTCCATGCCGTGAGGGTCACAATTGCATCGAACCCTCGTTGCTTTCTTTTTTCGATATTCGCTCTGCAGTTACACCACCAAGCCACGAAGGAATGCTGCGCAAATGGGAGCAGGTTCGGCCTCCCAATGACCCAAAGGATGAGCCACCAAAGCTGTCGGGATTTAGGGCAGTCAATGAGGATGTGATCCATGGATTCATCGCATTGGCTGCAAAGGACGCAGCTGGCCGGGTGTGGCAACCCTCTGCTCCGCAACCGATCGGCTGTCCAGCAGCTGCGACGGATGGCGAGCCAGGCGAAGTATCAGCAGCGAGGGGGCGCCTTACTCTTCCAGACCGGTTCCTCGGGGAATGTTTGCCGACCATGGAAGAGTGCAAGGTAGGCAGATTTGGCGGAGTATCGTCCCGAGCTTTCCCATTTCCAAACGAAGCTGTCAGGACGGTCCGGACACGGGACGGCGCGCGTGATTAGCGGCCAGATCCTGAGGTATTGGATCACGGCGTCCACTCCAATTCCCCCCCTGATGTCATTGATCCAAGTATGGTTTGCCAGGGCCTCCATCACGGTTCTCTTGTTGCGAACCAGTGGTGGGATAAGGGCGTAGACTGCCGGGGCCAGGCTTCGCACGCTGAGTGAGCAGCGACCCTCAATGAACGGACTCTAGCGACCGGCGATGGAGTTAGGATTTCAGTGTCAGGATTGGAGAGGGGGTCGAAGGAAGGAGTTCCCCTGAGGGATGACCATGGGAGGTGGTCGAACGGGCAGACGCTGCCAGCCTGCCACCACCAAAGCCATGAGGTCGGGAGCCGGTGGTGATCCGGCGTTGGCAACGGAGAAGTTGGGATCTCTAGCAATGAGGCATCTCTAGCAATGAGGCTGTCAAAAAAAAAATCAAATAATTAGTATAAGGTGAGATTTTCTATCACATGTTGTATAGACAGTAGTCTCGAAGGAAGGAAAAGGACCTGCCTGCGAACTAAATGAAATCGGCTAAATATATTTCCTTTGTTCCGAAGACGAATTCTTGAAGGATCGATGTCCTTTCGTTTTTTTACATGTCACCTAAATAGTTATAAAATTTTTTGACAATGCAAATTATTATGAAAAATATCACTTCACAAACATGCAAGGTTAAATTCAACTTCTATAAGTTGCAACAAAAAACAAAAGGAACAAATTAAACTAAAAATTTAGTTGAAAGTTCATTAATTTATAGTTATATTTGTTACCGTACGTAAAGTTGAATTTGAACTTGTATGTATTATTGTGGAGTGGTATATTTTATAATAATCTATCTTATAAATTTTTTATAATTATTTATTACTCCTTCCGTTTCATGTTATAAGACGTTTTGACTTTGGTCAAATTCAAACAATTTTAAATTTAATTAAGTTTATAGATAAATATAGTAATATTTATAGTACCAAATTAGTTTCATTAAATCAATAATGAAATATATTTTCATAATAAATTTGTCTTGGGTTGAAAATATTATTAATTTTTTTCTACATAGTCAAACTTAAAGCAATTTAACTTTGATCAAAGTCAAAACGTTTTGTAACCTGAAACGGAGGAACCGTTTCAGCGTAGGTGATCACAAGCAAGAAATAAATGGAAAGATGATATTACCTTTCCCCTTTGTGTCCTTTGTTAGCTGGGAGTATCGATGGATGGTGTAGTAATCATGCAATGCATGGTACGTACAATCTCCCCTTTGTTCCTTTTTGTTAGCTGGGGAGTATCGATGGGTGGTGCAGTAATCATGGTGCTTGCATGCATGCGATCGACAAATCACACACTCGAGAGGAGTTGAATTAATTAATTTCACAATCGGCCTAATTAAGGTGGTGTTTGGATCCAAGGACTTAGCTTTAGTTCTTGTATTTAGACACTAATTTAGAGTATTAAATATAGACTACTTAAAAAACTAATTATATAAATGAAAGCTAATTCGTGGGACAAATATTTTAAGCCTAATTAATCCATAATTAGAGAATGTTTACTGTAGCATCACATAGGCTAATCATGGATTAATTAGACTCAATAGATTCGTCTCGCGAATTAGTCCAAGATTATGGATGGGTTTTATTAATAGTCTACGTTTAATATTTATAATTAGTTTCTAAACATCCAATATGATAGGGATTTAAAAGTTTTAGTCCCATCTAAATAGGGTTTAAGACCTAGATATCATATCCTATCCTATATATGTAGCGCTAGCAGTCATCAGTTGAGGGAGTTGTAGTAGGAGTACGTATCCAGTACTGGAGTATAATTAAATATATATGGCTTGGAGTAGGAGGAGTACGAGCTGCGGCGGTGCATGTCGGCGGTGGGGCGGAGGAAAGGTGAGCGGCAAGCAGTTGGTGATGGCAGCGATGATCGGGACGCTGGCCCTGCTCGCCGTGGCCTGCTCCGTGACCGTGGTCCTCAGCCCCGCGCACCTCGTCTTCGGCGCCCTCGTGAGGGAGGACCACTACTACTACAACAGGACGGCGCCGGAGCGGCAGATCAACGTCACCATCACCGCCAACAACACCAGCAAGCACGCCAAGGTGCGGTACCTGTCCATGAAGACCGAGGTGTGGCTGGACGACAAGGACTGGGTTCCGGTGGACCTGGGCACCGACAACAAGACCTCCAATCAATTCCGCACGTGGTGGCAGCCGCCGGACAGCTCCACGCAGCTCACGGCGGGGGTCAACGTCCTGGAGACGTATGGGCTGCCTCGATCATCATCGGCTCCGCCTCCGCCTCCAGGTAGCAGCAACGACAACAAGGACTACACGGTTGTGATCAAAACCCAGGTGCAGTTCAGGTACGGCCCTGCTCACACAAGGCTCTACAGCATCATCGTCACCTGCCCCTGCAACACCAACTTAACACGGTACTACTACGACAGTAAAACTGATGTGGGCCACCTTTACTTCATCAACGACGTCTGTACCTATTAGCTAGTGTCATCCATGTTTCAAGAAAAGTTTAATTTTACGCTCCGTTATCCGTGTTTAATTGCTGAGTCGGTTTTAATTTTATATTTTGGTTTTAATTAATTTTCTACTATATATTATAAAAAATTAAAGATGTTTCCACGGTCCGTCATTCGTGTTTTAGTCGTTTTTAATTTTTAATTTTGGTTTTAATTAATTTTCGTAATTGTTGTCTACTCACGAGAAAAAAAATCGTCCGTGTTGTTTATTCGCGAGAAAAAGCCGGATCGGACTAAAAGAAGGAAACGTCATACGCGTGAACTACACAAAAATCAGAGAAAACAATCATGTTAAGGATTCGAACACAGCTCTATAAATGGCCATAAGGCCCGAGGCCCGACGGCCCGGCCCAAGGCTTGATATTTTGGTCCGGCCCAAGCACGGTATGGCCCGACTAGGGGTTGGGCCCGTGCTGGCCCGGCCCAACCAACGGGTCGTTCCTGGGCCTCCCCACCGACACGCTGGGTTGGCCCGGCACGGTCGGGCCGGCATGGCACGATGGGCCGGCACAACCAGGCCCGGTACAAGAGTATGGGGAAGCATAACAGACTTAATTTTAACCATCTGTAAGGCACGAGGGAGTACAAATAGACATATTATATGTCACGGCCCAAAAAATAGGGATGTAAAATAGACTTATTTTAGTTATATATATATATATGTCACATCCCAAAGAGGAGGGAGGAAAATAGACTAATTAAAAAAAGACACGATGGACCACTGTGCCTTCGGGTCGGCACGGCACGGCCCGACTGCTGGTGGGCCATGCCTGGGCCTGAGGCGCGGCACGTGGGCCGGCACGGCACAGCCCGAAACGCCACTCGGGCCGTGCTGGCCCGATAGCCATTGGGCCGTGCCTAGCCCGTGCCTGGGCCGGGCCATGTCGGGCGGGCTTTTGACCATCTACACACAGCTCTCCCTGGTATATGCTGCTACCTGCTCTCATCTAGCCACTAGACCCGTTGTTGTTTGTAGGGGTGAAAACGGTACATAATTTTTCCGGATTCCGGACCTATTTTCGGAAACGGAATTAGCCGGTCGGAATTTTTTCGGAATTTCTCGGAAACGGAATCGAAAACGGAAATATTTTCTCGGAAACGGAATCGAATATGATAATCGCAGTTTCCGTCGGAACTCGGAATCGGTCGGAAACATTCCGGAAAATTTGTCGGAATTTCCGAAGTTAAAAAGGCCCATCCAATCAATAGTCCATCATCCCTCCCCAAGTCCCCAGCCGGCCCAACCCAAGTTGCTAACCCTAGAGAAGAGAGTGGAGAGAGAGAGAAGTCAGACAGATCGGGA